ATGAGCCCGAAGTGCAGCCACAATAGTACACAAAGGAGAAAAACGAAGGAGGGAAGGGAAGAGAGGGAAGGGGGGCTTTATCATTAACTAACCATGGAGGAAAGAAAGGGGAAAAGGCATCTCTGAACCCTTCCTTTTTATTTATCGCTGGGTTAAAATCTCCATCTGATCAGCATGCCTCCTGCTCAGAAAGAGCCAGCAGCGGCCGGGCAGGACTCGCCTGCAGTCCCGACTTCTGTGTCAGTTTCCCCGAGCCGATCTCTTCCCAGCCCCAAGGGAAGGGCGCTCGGGCAGCCGCCCCGCGGAGGTCCGGCGGTGGGCTCGGCTCTGGCTGCACCCCGTGCATGGGTGTCCAGTGGAGGCTGGCGCGGCATCCAAGGCCGTGACATCACAAGTGCATGACGTCGCACTGCCTTTTTAGTCCAAACTGGAAAAGCTCCTAGTGTTACCGGTGTGTCAGGTATCCAGGTTGTAGCCGTATTGGGCGTGCATAGACAGATCTGTAGATGAGGACTTCACTAGGAGTGGCAGCCGGCTGTTTATTTACACTATGGATAGTCAAGTGGGGGGTGGGGGGCTGGATGCATGGAAGTGTGAAGGCCGCTGTGACAATCACGTTAGTGTGTATTTATCATATTCACCTTAATTTCATCAGTTCGATAGTTCGATTAATCCGTTTGCTGAATTAGCCCGGTCTTCCGACCCGAGATTTTTTTCCTGCAGACACACACACACACACACACAGAGAGAGAGAGAGAGAGAGAGAGAGAGAGAGAGAATCCTGGGCTCACAAGGCTTTAAAGCTACTCGATGTCATTGCAAATCGCCTCAGAGCGTTGTCTGTGGGCTGTATTTCATATTCTTTTTTTTTCAGGATCTATGGAAAGCGCCTGTTTAAATAAGGGCACGGTGGCCTGCCTTGCCTGTATGTGCCAGGGTCAGTGTCAGCAGCCTCTTTGAAACGGCATGGCACACCCACGGGAGCAGACGTCCGCTTCAACACCTATGGATGTTGTGCCTTCAGATAAAGGATTTCTCCCCTGGCTCCTCACGGCTGATGTTCCAGGGACACAAATGCGACAGTCCTCCCCGCGTGCCACGAAACAATTCAACTCTCCTCACATTCCCCGTATAGGCCCAGTTATATAAATTATCTGTCTCCAGCCATTTGTGCAGATGCTAATTGCATCGCTGCCTGCCGAAAAAAGAAAGCTGACATCGAAGGGTCAGCTAAATGGCAGGCATGCTTGTCTAAACGTTTTGTCCTTTGAACACGAAACCCAACACATCAGTACAATGTTTCAAAATGCGAATCAGATGCTGCTTTCAGGAGCTGAATGCTCGCGCCCGGGTGAAACGCTGCTGCTCCTAGCACGGGCAAAGACGCTGCCTTCAGAAACCAAGGGAGAGCAGTGCACCTCGCATGCCTCTTTTTTTTTGTTTGTTTCTAAGAGATCATCCATCCATTTCTCCTCCAGCTCGAAATAACATTTGCCTGTTTCAATCCAGAACGCAGTCCAACCCCCAAAAAGGACTGATTAACATCCAAGTGCTTTGAAGAAAATAAAGTCATTTATTGTCAAAGCATCCAACATACCCAGATAAACTATAAAGTTTAATAAATCTTTTCAAGGGGGGAGAAAAAAGAAAAGAAATGAAAGAAACACATAACTATTCAGACTTCATTTCACTGGCACAAAATTACACTTTGTATTAAAAGGAAATACATATTTACAGAATCGGTGACATTCTGCACTGAAGTCCATAATCATTTAATGATACATGCACTTCCCTCTTGGAAATTCAAATGGATTCAAGTCCTTTGTTTTTTGTGTTTTTGTTTTTGTTTTTTGCTTTTTGCTTTGTTTTTGGGGCTTTTTTTGGAAAGAACACAAACTGTCATCAATTAATGCAGAGAGCATTGCATCCTCCTTCAGTTTTTTTTACTTTATATCTAAAATAAAAATTTACCCTTACATATAATTATTATTACATCTAAACCATAAGTGCTTAATAATTTAAGTAGAAACGTATGACAAATGCATCAATATGCTGCAATATATGACATTTTTTAAAATGTATTTTTTTAATCATTTATTTTTTTCTCTTTTTATTTTCCTTTTATTTTTATTTATTTATTCATTTTTTGGAAAGTGAAAATGCGTGCATCGAAACATAAAAGAAAGGAAAAGGAGGGGAGGGGAGAATAAATCCTGCCTCTCTCAGTCTGGTGTCTCGCCAGGGAAATGTATGCAAGGGAGTGAACTTTCCAAAGTGAGGAGAGGTTTTTCTATTTCTTTCTTTTTGGGGGTGGGGCGGGGATGCTTCAACGTGTGCCCAATTTGAGAAGCCTCAGCACGAGCCCAGACTCGCAGAAGCGCTGCCTGGACAGCAGGCCGGCCCACCGCGCCGGCGAGGCTCAGGGGCTGGACCCTGAGCGGGTGTAAAGTGTCCTAGTTCCACCTGAGAGCGAGTGATGCCGGAGAGAGGGGGGAGAGCGGGGGATCCGCACCCAGGCGTCCCACATCGGCCGCACCCAAGCAGCAGCAGCAGTGAGGCATCGCCAAAAAATCAGCTTGAGGGGACTGAGGCTCCTGGTGGAGGGGGAAAAGAAATCAGCCTAGCGAGTGATGCCTGGGGGGAGGAGGAGGAGGGGCAGCCTTAGCCACCGGCTGAGATGCACCGCGTGTGTGCGCGGGGGGCGGGGGGGGAGTTATGTGTGGGTGTATGTGGATGCATTGGGGTGGTGTGTGTTGTGGGGGTGTCTGTGTATGGGGGTGTGGGTGGGCGGATGTGTGTATGAGTAGTTTGTGTAGATGCATTGGGGTGGTGTGTGTGGGTGGATATGTGTGTTAGTGGGTGGGTGTAGACGCATGCGGGTGGTGTGTGCGTGTAGATGGGTGGGTGGGTCTGTATGTGTGGGTGTGGACGTGTGTATGGGGTGGATGTGTGTGTGAATGGGGTGGGTATGTGGATGAATGGGGTGGTGTGTGTAGGTAGGTAGGTATGGGGAGGTATGTGTATGGGTCCCTGGGGAGTATTTGTGGGTGTGAATGTGTGTGCGTGGGTGGGTGTATGTGGGAGTATATGTGTGTGGATGCATTGGGGTGGTGTGAGTGTTGGTGGGTGGGTTTGATGGGTGGGTGCGGATGTGTGTGTGTGGGTGGCTGCATGGGTGGAGG